CTGTTATCCGGTAGCCAAACGTTAAATTTACAGAAAACTTTATCAAACAATTATTTAAAAAAATTTAAAATTTATCTCACTGTGCGAATTTGTCCTCCTAAATTTTAAATTTATCTCACTGTGCGAAATTGTTCTTTGAACAGCGCCATCTGTTATCCGGTAGCCAAACGTTAAATTTACAGAAAACTTTATCAAACAATTATTTAAAAAAATTTAAAATTTATCTCACTGTGCGAATTTGTCCTCCTAAATTTTAAATTTATCTCACTGTGCGAAATTGTTCTTTGAACAGCGCCATCTGTTATCCGGTAACCAAACGTTGAATAATGTTTGATAAAGTTTTCTGTAAATTTAACGTTTGGTTACTGGATAACAGATGGCACTGTTCATAGGACAAATTCGCACAGTGGGATAAATTTATTAAATAGGAGGACAAATTCGCACAGTGGGATAAATTTAAAAGTTGGGTGGACAAATTCGCACAGTGGGATAAATTTAAAAGTTAGGTGGACAAATTCGCACAGTGGGGCAAATTTAAAAATTAGGAGGACAAATTCGCACATTGGGATAAATTTAAAAGTTAGGTGGACAAATTCGCACAGTGGGATAAATTTAAAAGTTAGGTGGACAAATTCGCACAGTGGGATAAATTTAAAAGTTAGGTGGACAAATTCGCACAGTGAGATGAATTTAGAAATTAGGAGGACAAACCCGCACAGTGGGATAAATTTAAAATTAAGGAGGACAAATTCGCACAGTGGGATAAATTTAAAAGTTGGGTGGACAAATTCGCACAGTGGGATAAATTTAAAAGTTAGGTGGACAAATTCGCACAGTGGGATAAATTTAAAAGTTAGGTGGACAAATTCGCACAGTGGGATGAAATTAGAAATTAGGAGGACAAACCCGCACAGTGGGATAAATTTAAAAATTAGGAGGACAAATTCGCACGGTGGGATAAATTTAAAAGTTAGGTGGACAAATTCGCACAGTGGGATAAATTTAAAAGTTAGGTGGACAAATTCGCACAGTGGGATAAATTTAAAAGTTAGGTGGACAAATTCGCACAGTGGGATAAATTTAAAATTTAGGAGGACAAATTCGCACAGTGGGATAAATTTAAAATTTAGGAGGACAAATTCGCACAGTGGGATAAATTTAAAATTAAGGAGGACAAATTCGCACAGTGGGGAAAAACATTTTTGAACCAGTATCAGTATTATGCATGCCCACTCATGTTAGGTGAAGTTACAGTCAAGTGGGTGGAGGCAATACAAACAAAACTCCCCATGTGCATAGGGGGGGCCATATTCGGGGCAGGAAGATTAAAACCCAAGCACAGGAAATTATACACTGAAAAATATCTGCCCTGGGCTATAAAGACTGGTAAAAATATGGATTTCCTACTAAATATTTATTTTGAGAAAAGGTGGGAGCAAAATGTGCAAGAATTGCGTCAAGAAATTAACATGGTGCCTTTAAAATTAGAGGAATAGAGTGTATTTATTTAAATAAATGTTATTTATATTGAAAATTTTTGTTATTAATGTGAAATTTCTTTGTTTTTGTGTTTTTATGGCCATAAATAATTAAATTAGGAGTGGTTTAAAAATTATGTCATGCAGTGTAGGACATTTGAACTACTCGATGTCATGTACACTGAGTGACAATATTTTTGAATTTTTGTTTGATAGTTTTTTGTAAATTTAACGTTTGGCTACCGGATAACAGATGGCGCTGTTCAAAGGACAAATTCGCACAGTGGGATAAATTTAAAATTTAGGACAAATTCGCACAGTGGGATAAATTTAAAATTAAGGAGGACAAATTCGCACAGTGGGATAAATTTAAAAGTTGGGTGGACAAATTCGCACAGTGGGATAAATTTAAAAGTTAGGTGGACAAATTCGCACAGTGGGGCAAATTTAAAAATTAGGAGGACAAATTCGCACATTGGGATAAATTTAAAAGTTAGGTGGACAAATTCGCACAGTGGGATAAATTTAAAAGTTAGGTGGACAAATTCGCACAGTGGGATAAATTTAAAAGTTAGGTGGACAAATTCGCACAGTGGGATAAATTTAAAAGTTCGCACAGTGGGATGAATTTAGAAATTAGGAGGACAAACCCGCACAGTGGGATAAATTTAAAAATTAGGAGGACAAATTCGCACAGTGGGATAAATTTAAAAGTTAGGTGGACAAATTCGCACAGTGGGATAAATTTAAAAGTTAGGTGGACAAATTCGCACAGTGGGATAAATTTAAAATTTAGGAGGACAAATTCGCACAGTGGGATAAATTTAAAATTAAGGAGGACAAATTCGCACAGTGGGAAAAATTTAAAATTTAGGAGGACAAATTCGCACAGTGGGATAAATTTAAAATTTAGGAGGAAAAATTCGCAGTGGGATAAATTTAAAATTTAGGAGGACAAATTCGCACAGTGGGATAAATTTAAAATTTAGGAGGACAAATTCGCACAGTGGGATAAATTTAAAATTTAGGAGGACAAATTCGCACAGTGGGATAAATTTAAAATTTAGGAGGACAAATTCGCACAGTGGGAAAAATTTAAAATTTAGGAGGATAAATTTAAAATTTAGGAGGACAAATTCGCACAGTGGGATAAATTTAAAAATTAGGAGGACAAATTCGCACATTGGGATAAATTTAAAATTTAGGAGGACAAATTTGCACAGTGGGATAAATTTAAAAATTAGGTGGACAAATTCGCACAGTGGGATAAATTTAAAAGTTAGGTGGACAAATTCGCACAGTGGGATGAATTTAGAAATTAGGAGGACAAACCCGCACAGTGGGGCAAATTTAAAAGTTAGGTGGACAAATTCGCACAGTGGGATAAATTTAAAAGTTAGGTGGACAAATTCGCACAGTGGGATGAATTTAGAAATTAGGAGGACAAACCCGCACAGTGGGATAAATTTAAAAGTTAGGTGGACAAATTCGCACAGTGGGATGAATTTAGAAATTAGGAGGACAAACCCGCACAGTGGGATAAATTTAAAAATTAGGAGGACAAATTCGCACAGTGGGATACATTAAAAAAATGCAAGGACAAATTTGCACAGTGGGGCATTTTCACAGTAATTTTTAATTTTGGACTAATGTACGGATGTCCCAGTATGATTTAAGTTTCGGCAGAAAGGCGAGTGAAAAGAGTGCGAAGATGATTTTCATGTTCGTCAACATCTCGTGAGAAAACCAGAATATCGTCTATGTAAGGAAAGAAGAATTCCAGTTCGAAGACGACTTCATCTATAAAGCGTTGAAATGTCTGCCCGGCGCGGCGTTTCGCAGCTCAAACGACATAAATGGAAACTCAAACAGGCCAAAAGGTGTTGTGATGGCTGTTTTCGGGAATCTGGGTGTAGGCCTTGACGAGATCAATGATGGAATAGGTGGTGCATCCACGAAGTTGATATGTGAGATCGTGGATGTGTTGCACTGGATATCTGTCCAGTACGGTTCTGGCGTTGAGGCTACGGTAGTCGCCACATGGTATCCAACCGTCTGATTTCTTTGTTGATTGATTTTATCTCGATCTGCATTTCAGAAATCTGATGTAAAAGTTCGTCCAACCGCTGGGAAAATGGGTCGATACGGTTGCAGGCGGAGTGGAAATGGCATGGAACGCACCAGAAGGTTATCGTGGACTGTGGCGCAACCTACCAAGGATCGCAGGTGACGGAGAAACTGGGAAGGGGTACGAATCGTAATAAAGTAATTTTTTTTAAGTATTTTTATTAACCAAAATTTACAATGATGAGAATAGAGTATTGAGTTGCTCAATACCTATATGATTATCTACAATATCATGGTTGTGATTATGATTATTTTAAAATTCTACAACTTTGGTTAAAAAGTTCGAAACAGCCTATTAAATAGCATAATGACTTTTTGGCTGCTCTTTTTTTAATATAACCAAAGTGAAATAGACCATACATAAAAAACAATTGACATTGATGTAACCTTAGCCCCATTAAAAACCTATTTGCTTATAAAATTTCACTTAATTTAAGTTGTCCACTGGGATGAAATTGGATGTTTTAATATATGGTCCAAATGGTTAAATTGTTTAATTTTGCTATAACACACAAGTAAAAAAACCAACAATTTACAAATAGCCGATTTTAAGTCTTATCACCAGAATCACTTTCATAATCAAATAAATAAAACACTAGTTACAAATCGCAATATATAAGGGTTAAAGCAAAAAAATATGTCTGTTGCTATTTTGATTTATTTTACCTGATTGAATCAATATACAAATCATATAATTTGTACAAAAACAATTAATGAAATTTGTAAACATACTGTTGTTATACGGATGTATAAATAAAAAGCAATAATTGTAAATAATTTGAATGACTACAATAAATTTCATAAAGTCTTGAGGTACTTGTCATACCAAATGTACGTAACATTACTAACTAAATTAATTAAAAGGAAAGCCACCTCAATTCGAATCATAACCTAACCGTATCACCGATATACATAAACACCGCTCTAACAGCAGACTGACTGATCAGAGAATGATAAAAAATGCGTTGCCTTTCCTTGTTTGGTTACTTTTTAAAAACACTCACTTTAAGTCCAAAAGTCTTCGAAATTAGTATATTCTCATCCCAAAATCACTTTACTTCCTCAGGTGTACGTACTCTCCATCAATTTCGAACTAAATGTCAAAAATATATGACGTCATAGTTATACAAATTGTATGATAAAATACAACTTTGTCTGTTTCAAGTAGAAAGTGTTAATAATAATAATAGTAATAATAACACAAAATGAAAATTAATTGTCCTTCCAAACCAGACTATACTTACCTGAGGTTTTTTGAGAAGTTGAATCTGATTTTGAAAATTTATAACTAAAAAGAGAAAAAAAAACAAAAATAACCAGGTAATTTTTTTCCTTTAAAATCCATTATTAAATTTTTAACAAAAGATTTCTGGACAAAAATTACCTTGTATAATAACCCTGATGTCATATTTTTTTCTACAGTCAATCTAAAATTTAAATAGCCAAATCACCTGATAAAGTAAAGCGATCTTGTATTTAGTTATCATTATTATTTTAAATTAATTTTTAGCGCAACTCGACCGACCGACCGGCAGCCAGTAGTCGGCAGTAGGGGGTCGTTTGGGGGCGGTGGAGACGGTGTCGCCGCCGCCGCTATCAGTTGCTGTTGTTGCAGTTCTCCTCGTTGCCGGACGCGTGGTTGCTGCCGCCCCCGCTTATGGGACCGTCGGCGGCGCAGGGCGGCCGATACGCCGCCGAGAACGGGAACCGCTCTTGGCAACGTTGCACGTACTCTTCGGTTTCGCCGTCGCAGCTGCCGAAGTCGCCTCTCTTCAGCGACCTTAGGATTTCTGTACATATCTGGACAAAAAAGGAATGAGCTAATAATGTTGGACACTGTCAAATGCTGTATAAATCTGGTAAAAACATTGTTCCAAATATTAGTTCGCCCAAGTAGCATTTTTAGTGGATAAAACGTATCGGACACTTATACCGGGTGTTTTAACCGGGTGTTTTAACGAAAACACCTCCAAAACGTTTTAACGGGTGAATGTGGACAAAATTACTTGGACACGTCAATTTTTATTTCTCGCCCAAAAAATCTTATTGATCAATACATTCGTTAATTTACAATGTTTTTGGTTTTTTTAATTTACCTAATTTCTCGAGAAATAATCGACAGATTTTTAAAAAAATTACAGAATCTTATTTAGAATTAAAAACGATTTTAAAACGATATGTCACTTATTTGATGCTGCGATATCAGTTTTCGTCACTATAATGCTACATGGGCGGGGAAAGGAGAATAACGTAATCTACTCTGAAATGACACAACGAAAAAAAAAAACAAATAACAGTCAAAGAATTTTCAACTTCAGTCAAACTATTATTTATCTATAACATAAAATTGTAATAATTGGGACCCTAGCATTTGGTCCAAATACAAAATATCCTCGAAAAAATGTCATAAAAATAAATATCCATGAACAAGCCACATTTGTTTACCTTTCTGCGAAGAGATAAACTTCAACACCGCTATTATTGTGCTATCAAAAATCAATCAATAAAAACAATATGGGTATCAAATGAAAGGGTATAAAACGAAACGAATTAACAATATTTTTATATTTTCCACACTAAACTTGTACCAAACTTTTTTTTTAATAAAGCAATGCTTTTTATAAAACCCAGTCAATTAAAGCAAGAAGATAAAATATTTCTTAAGAATGACTTTCCCAATGCATGTAAACTTATTTATAAGTAAAATGATGTTAATAAAAGACGGTATAGGTATACTTACTTCATTATTTACATCTTGATACTTATTGTCGATATTGGTAACCAAATTGAGCGCCTGACTTTGACATTTCTCGTCCAAATGGTACATCATGCGGGCGCCTTCGAGGGTGGCGCGCAAACTCGTGGCGTGATCGGTGAGGAACTCCTTGTTCAGCGTTTTGGCGTCTTTTCCGTTGAAGAACGGCTGCGACTCCTTTGCGACCACCTGCTGCACGCTCGGATCCCACGTGCTCTTGTTCTCTGCGACGAACCGGTTGAAGCGGATCAGGCAGCTGTGCAGCTTCGGGTGCTTCGAGTCCACTTTGAGCGCGCGTTTCAGGGATTGCACCATCAAAAGGCCTTTCTCTAAGGAAAAATAGTCAAGGATAATCTAAACTTCTTAAAGATGTTACTTACTCTTTCTGTAGTAGACTTCAAAAGCCATAAGATGAGTTTCTATACTGTTTTGCGACAGCCTTTGCAGGGGATACAAGAACTTGATCGCTTGTTCAAGGGGATCTTCCACCTAACAGTTCAAAAATACATTATTATAAAAAATTAAACCCAAGAAAAATTTCAACTTACCCTAGCTAATTTATCGGGAATAAGTTCATCCAATTGCGGGGCATCAGCTTCGACGTCACCCTGTTGCCTGGACTTGTGGTGCTGATCTCTTTTGACTTGTGCTTCCCTCTGTTGAGCGCTTTCCTGTTCGGCTTTTTTCTTAGCTTTCCTTTGCTTGTTTCTCAGTTTCTTCAATTCGGATGGTGCCAAATTTTCTGAAAATTAAAAATAAAACATTTAGATGGTGAAATCCTTGAGTACGTTGTTTTCGGTCGAGTGGGCATCGTGTATACATTGAAATTCAGATGCGACGCCTTGTTAACCAACACGTTGACAGCATTAATGCACCGCACCTAAACTGGTCACTGACCATGCAGATTTTTATTTTTAAAAAAGCCGAGGATATTAAAAGTACTGTTAATATCGAGAAAACTTGACTTAAATTGTTGAAATTTTTAATAAATAAATTAGTAAAGAATTTTATATGGCCTGGGTAACCAAATGTTTTTTTGGTGTAGTATTTATACTACAAATAATTTTTTTGGGTAATTTCTTCAGGTGCTTAGTTGAGGTGAAAATTATGAAATAATTATATATGGGTATTAAATATAGGTATATGAACAGATCCATTACTTTTCGATAAAACTTTGTGAACTTTAATCAGCGGTCCTAAAAACTGGGTTTATCAAAGTCTTAGGCCAATCGAAGCATATATGGCTTTAGAGGTTTTTTTTTTAAATTTAAAAAATAGCGATTTTTAGTCAATTTTTTATTTGACCGATCTTTGAAGTGCTGCTATTTGTACACATTAGAAGATTTAAAATTATGTAATGGCTTATTTTCTTTGGATTAAATTAAAGTTTTAAAATTAACAAAAATTTTCAGTATCTAATAATTACACGTCGAGATATAACCACTCAGTAAATTTATTTAAAAAAAAATAGCCGTTCCTTTACTATGTTCTAAAAAAGCCCTGAAAATTTAAACATTTTTAAAAACCCGAACAAAGTATTATACCATTAGCATGTGCACTTTTTTATAATAGCGACGTCTCTATTTAACGTAATACCCTCGTGCTTTTAATAATAATCAAAATGTTCATAGTTGGTGATAAATTACTGATGATAGTAAAAGTGCATCCGTTAACTATCTTTGATCAAACGTGACTGCATCACGCGCACCCACCCAATTCCTAATAAATGTGTCTAGGTGACTGGCTTCTGTGACATTTTGCGGGAAAATTATAAAATTAACCTTTAGCAACTCTCATGAATCTAATTAAAACCACACAACGTATCATTATAATTATTATTGCATAGGGGTAGGTCAAATGTATTTCGAAATTGTTATCGGTATTCGGTTTTTTAATCGAGAGTGTAAGGTTCTCAAGCATATTTAACGGAAATTGCAAATATTATAAAATGTATTTTACGACCAACTGGACTGCGTAAATCAAGTACTGCACAAACAAAGGTGGGCGGGATTCCCAACATGTGGGCCTTAATATTCATTGTTTATTGCGAATAACTTGCAAATATGGTTTACAATGGAACACCTAACGAATTTCGTAACCTATATAAAGTTTAAAAATGTTTTCAGGTAAAATTTTATCACAAGGGGTGTTTTTTAGGTAGTTCATTAAATTCATTAAAAAAGCCTACAAGAATAATTCTTGTACGCTTTTTTAATGAATAAAACTGTCATAAAAATCATTTCATAGTTCGTCATTTTTGTTTTTTTTTCAAACATAATTTTTATCTAATACATTTATTATGCGATTAATTCCGCAAGTCCCATTATGGGATATATAGTTTTAACGAAATTTTTAATTTTTTTTTTGATAAAATCAAAGTAAAATTATTTTTTTTTAATTAAATACTACGTATTTTAAACATTTAAAGAACGTCTTAACGTATTTTGTAACAGCAATATTTTGTGTATTTTAGGGTCTTTTTTGGATATGTAAGCGAGTAATAGTACGGTTTCTTCATTTACTTGTATTATTGAGTGAAAATATCCATTCTAATGTTTTGTATCCTTTTTCCGGGTACACCTTTGAACACGTTTTGAAACCAGATCGGGCGGTACCTACTTTATTGTGTGACGGACACACTTATAATTCTATCTTTGAACCAATATTTTATTATTGCCAACACATACGGATAGATAGAGATAATCGCCCCGTTTTGCTCGCTGCAGTTGTGCAAGGTTGATCTACTTTTTATCCACTGTACTCTCTTAAAAGCTACTTAAAATTGTTTTAGATAATTTACATGATTATGATTTGCTAAAACAATTACTATTATTCAAATGTTACGTGTTAAAATTTATGACAAGGTCGTCGTAAGTCCCCAGGATATCGCATTAAATATATAAACTAATGACCCTGGTTGTTTAAACATAAGTTTGATTAATGAAAAATCATTTTTACACCTACAAGTCTAATTTTAATATTTCGTCACTATAGTGTTTTATAAAAAACACCAAAGAACAATAATTTTAGTCCTATAAAAAAATTTTGTGAAGTCAAATACTCTCGTAATTACTGTGTGATTCCATATAAGATTGGTTGTGTATTGGCATTATAGGTTAGAGATTCGCATTCAACGAATTAAACAAATAAAAAAAATCATTTGTAATAAAATAGTTTATGTAACAAATTGCAATTATTTAAACATAATGCCAGGGGATATTTTGAAATATGAGAATTGCATATCTGGGTAGACCACCGCAAATTCTATGTATAATAATAAAATGATTATAAAGGAAACGTTATTTGCTGTCTCGAGAATGGTATTATTATATTTTCATCGGCCAAACTTATTATTAAGACCACATTATGACATGGGAACAAATTTTAACGAATTGCAAAGAAAATCAACTATACGTAAAGTGAAAAGTGATTGCCTGTTAAAATGAAATTTATAAATTGGAAAAAGCCCGCGGTTCTGAATATATTTGAAAAAAATAAAAACCTTTTAAAACCATATTGTTATAAATATTGGGAAAGGCTGATTTTTTTTAAATTTTAAATGCCATTTTAATAGACTTGTAAGTAAGCAACTTTTATCTAGTTTAACTGACATTGTAGCTCTTCAAATAAAAAGATACATAGAAACATAAAATTATGTATCTTGTTTTTTTGACATACTATACGTATAGCTTACTGTATATTTTAATAAAATAAAAATTTCAAACGAAAATAACTGTACCGATCCTATTGTTTTGAAACATTTAAACATGTTTTTTCCATTAAACTTATACCGAGTTTTGTACTTTTTTCGCATTTAAAAGCATAGTGTGATGAAAAATTCCATTCATAAAGTCATAGATTACGATCAATCAATTCGCTGTCAAGACTCGGAATTACAGCCTCTCTTTCCGACGTTTGCTTTCCAAATTGATATCGAAAATTAAAAGCGGTTGCGCAATAAACAATAACACCTTTTGCAGATTTAATTGAATCATTTTTACAATGCGGAACTGATACAGTTTAGAAAGGAGGTTTAGGGATACAGACAGATAAATAGGTCCGATTAAAAATATATATAATTTGCGGATTGGTTTGTATTTGATTTGATTAAATATTTAGCAAGTTTCAATTTTTATGGCTGCTTGTTAAAGTTTAATGCCTCCTCATAACAGTTATTAATAAATTTAATTATATGATATATTCAATTTGAAATTAAGACATTTGCAATAAACTTTCAGCTATAATTTCACTTTAACAACAATCTTATCACGTCAATAAATAAAACGTTTAAAACAAGAGTTTTTTATGAAGGGGTTTTATTTTTAATTTGGAGATTTTCCCTGTCCATGATTATTATAGTATATATGCAATGCTTGTCAATGTTTAGTTAAAAGTTTACTTAATGTCATGAAAACATGTACGATAATGGGCGTTTTAAAGGTGGAAGTAGAAAAAATTTATTAAAAGTTAGTAAATAAATGTATCGGGCCTAGGACTAAACCCTGCGGTATTCTAGTCTAAATATTTTTATACAATTAATTTTACGAAATTACTAGGCCGTAACCCGCAGTTATTTAGTTTTTTCCTTCACAAAGTTGCAGCTTAACGATTATGTGGAGACTCGACCTTAAATTAATTAAATAATAAAACCATAACAATGTGTATCAAATTGATAAGACCACTCCCGAACCAGACAACCTATATTAAATTATACATAAATATGACTTAAGTAAGTATACATATATCTATCACTCGTGGGCATTATCTAATTGGTATAATAATGGCCAATGTACGTGTTTATGGTTTTGTTTATTAATATTCAATAAAAATGATTTATCGAAATTATAAGGTTGAACGTTCACGCACCTTGTTAACTTCAAGAAAAAATGTTTTACAATTAGCTTAGCGTTCGGACAGTAGGAAAAATAATGGACGTTACCATACGCAAAACTTGACAATAAAAAATTGATAAAAATCAAATTATATACAGTGTTACCCATTTGTTTGCGACTCACAAAGTAATAGTAACATGGCTTAAATATTCCTATGCTTGACAAATAAAAAACCCAATAGAAACTTAAAACAACAATGAAACAAAAAATAGAGAATTTAAAAAATTCTCTCAAATATGAAAGTGTATTTTTGGAACTCTCATTTTTTTATTGTTGTTTAATGTTTCTATTGCGTTTTTTATTTGTTAAAATTAAGCATAAGAATATTTATAACATGTTACTATTATTTTATTGTTTCGACCTTTACTTGATGAAACTCCATGTCACTAATGTATAACTAGATAAAAACACAAACAATATGTTTTGAGTTTCACGAATTTATTTTAATTTAATTTGACAATTGTTTCGCTAACACAGTAGCTTCTTCAGAAATGATTTCAAACTTTATCTAATAATAACAAACTTATATAACAAGATTATTGCATGTAATTACCTGCATGTAATGTTTTTTTAAATATTAGTACAGTATGACAATTTTACCTGTCGAAGTATAGTATACTTAAAAAAATTGAATGAAATATAGGGCAGGGTTGTTTTTTTTAAATCGCTAATTCTTGAAAATTTACTCACAAAAACTGACATTTTGTTCCAAAAATACAGTTTATCAAGATCTAAAACAAATCCGGTTAAAATCGCATAAAAAATAAAGATTTTACAGGGGTGAGTCGCAAAGAACTGTATTTAAAACAATGTTTATCATAAAAACCACCACAATCCATAGATAAATAAT